GACCGAGTCTGTGTGAGCGAACCTGTCAAACATGGCTCCTTCCACCGAACCACTTTCACTGTAACCAACAACCCCGTGAGACTGAATCTCTGTGAGTGTCACAGACCCTTTTGTCTCGAATGCACAACCCTTGTGGACTGGATCACTGCCATTGAACCTGTTGCACATGGCTCCATACCCCTTTGACTCTAATGCACCCATACCCCTTTGGACTGACTCAGAATCTGTTCCACATAGCTCCATCCAACAAACCCCTTTGACTGCAATGCAATGCAGATTCTTGCAGAAACTATTTTGGACTGGTCACCTCTGGCGGCAACACATGACTTTGTTGACTCCGGGGCTTTTTCACAGAAACGGAGCGTACAACTCCTTTTGACAGAAGAGCCCCTCACAGAGTAGTCATTTGTAATCACAGTTCGTTTTCATTTGCCTGCAAGTGAACGGGTTGCCGTCACCAAAAAATTAAAGAACCGCTCCTTGGTCACAAAATAAACCCTCCGATTATTATGAAATAAACCTGTCTGTTTGTTGGCACGAATCCCGTTTCTGAGTGAGCAGCCATCTTGCTGATGGTTTGGCCCCCTGAAAACGGCGATGGCAGCGTGGCACCGGACACTCCCCCTCCCCTTGAGCAGCGGTCTCGCTTTTGTGCACACAGAAGAATGAACAGCTCTTCCCTTTTTTTTTTTTCTTTTTTTTTTTTTTAACAACAACACCCCCTGCAGTGCTAGTGTTACTGGTTAGAGCAGGTAGCATTAGCACCCGGGGAGAGGCTCCATCTATTGGTGGGGAGCATCACCTGCTGGAAAACGGGTCCAGCGTCCCTTATACACAGAACGAATCAGGAACATGACAAGGAAATAACTGAGGAAAGCACCTGCCAGCATTGATTACTCTGTCTTCCAGAGGATTGACTGTGCAGGTTGTTGGGAACAGGAGAAACCTCTTCGCCCTGTACCCGGCGCCAAATACCTGCTGTCGAAAGACTAGTTCCTCCCTCTCCCAAAAGACTTTACCACCCCATCCCCCACTATCGATCCCTCTGTTTCACTCAGACCTCGACCCTAATTTTTACATATCATTGCGAAAAACATCTACCCTTCTTGCCTAAAACTATCCTCTGAGACTGTCTCATTCCATTCTATCCTTAGCCCGTAACCTCCCCATACCATTCCATTTCAACCAGAGCTAAAGGAGGGGGTGGGAAGAGATCTGGAAAGTCTGAGAGGGGCCGGAGCGGGATAGAGGGGTCAATCTGGGTCCAATCCTGAAAGCATAGGTGGTAGTCCCTTTCCCCTTCCTCAACATCTTCCCCCCCTTTCTCCCCGCCTTCCATGTTACCTTAGCGATCCAAACCCCCTGTCCCCCGCCCAGCCAGTCTTTACAGAACTTCTCGACGAGTTGTCTAATTTCTCGTTTAGAGTGTAGGTATGTGATTTTTTCTTTGAATCTTTCCCATTGAATAGAAATATCCTCCCGTATTTGTTCCATCCCAGCGCACCCCTTCCATTTCGAGTGTGCATCGTCTCCACCAGATGGCCCAGACAACCGCCCTGTGGCCTATTTTAAACATATTTTCTTCAACAGGGGTGGCTTGCTCTGGGGGCCATGCCTCACAGAGGAGCGCTCTCCAGTCCCATGGCCAAGCTTGTGAGGTGCACAATTGTCTCCATATGCGGTCCCGCCACCTCCACAACCATATTGCTGTCGGGCACTGCAAGAACATATGCTCTATGGTCTCTGACCATTTACGATCCGGGAAGGATGTTGTGCATATCTTGCACCATTGGAGTGCCACCCCCTTTTATCTATCAGCCAGTCATTGGTCGGCAGGAATCTATGTTCTATTTGCCATTGGAGCGAGGCCAGTTTCGTTGGCATGGTCCTGCTCGCCTTAAACCACTTAACCGGCCACAGCATATCTCTCCCCACGTTCGGATGCTTCATCCAGCGTGCCTCTACCACATCTTTCAGATTTACTCTCGGTCGCAGCATTCGATAGGTCGCCTTGACTGAGAGAGACTGCAGCCGCTGCACCCCAGATCTTCCTTTCCCATATTTCTGGGACCATATCCACTCATCGGGGTCAAGTGGTAGCTCTTGGATTGGTTTGTACGGCTTGTATGCTCGCCATTGGTCATTTTCTTTAAGGACGCGGATACGGTATAACCCAGACCTCGGACACCATACTGTCTCTTCTGGCTGCACCCGCTCCAGGCCATTGTTCGTCATTATTCTAAAACGGTTGGCAACCACCTCCTGTTCCTCCCCCGTGCTGACCTAACGAGTATACACTAGGTTCCCAACCACCCCTCTGTATCCTAGAACCCCACCAGTCACCCTCCATCACCACCGGTCCTTTCCTCAAGATCCAGACCCAGTCAAGAGGGATGGCGAAGATAATGGTTTCCAGCGCCTCTCCCACTTTGTGGCAATACCTCAGTTTCTTCCTCAGTTGGGTCTCTGACAGCCAATCCTTGGTTTCTGGATCCCAAATATCTTTGACTCGAAGCACACCATTCTTGACCCAACCCTTCCAAGGGCTTTCACTGCTATGGAAGACCCTACTTTGGGGGCCTGTTACCCATCGGTTTCCAAACAAAGGCTATCAGACCACTTCTTCCCATCGCTTGGGTGGGACTTTGTCAGGTAAGGGCAGCTACGCCAAGTTCTCAGTAACGTGGCCCACAGAGGGTCCTTTTTCAAGTCTTGTCGAGCTGCCTGTTTGTCAGACCCTCCCTCCACATTGGGCCGGGACAATTTTTGGGGTATAGTCCAGTACCTATCCTCAAGCCACGTTCCGGTTCTACCTCAGAAGGCGCCGGTGGCGCTAGCCTGGCAATCTGCTGCAATGCCAACGGTTGCCATGGCACTTGTGTGGAGAAGAGCAGGCCTTTAACCCACTGAAGGATCAGGGACATCACTTGAGTGGCCGGGTCAATTATTCCTTGACCCCCTCTGGTTTTTGGTTGTATGACCGATTGCCAGACCACTCTACTAATAGGATTAGGGCACTCATGATTCCCTCTCCATAAAAAAGCAGCCACCTGCCTCTAGAGGAAAGTTGTCACAGATTTGTTGAGGGCCCAAATTGTTGTTTTGTATGACAAGGCAGCCAGAATTACATTGTTGATCACCAGAGATTGACCCATCAGAGATGTCTGCCGGTCCTTCCATTGGGATAGTTTCCCCAAGACTGGTTGCATGAGCCATTCATCGTTCAAAGGAGGTTTACCTTCAGCTGTCATTTGGAACCCCGGATTCTAATCGGGGCATCTGTGGGCCTCCATTTAATATTGGGGGTATCCGGTGGCCTCCCTCCGTGGTAGTGTAGCCACCACCCTGGTGTCTTGTTGCCCCAATTGAAGTCATATCAGACAGGGAGCAAAAACGGTCCATCAAATTTTGGATTTCCAACATATTTTCTTGGGACGCATCTATCACTGACCGTTCCTTGGAATGGAGGAGAGCCTTATCCTTTGAAGGTCTTTGTGGGCCCGTAGGTTTGCTGCGAGGGCCTCCATGATAATGACAAAGAGGAAGGGGGCAATAGCGTTTCTTTGCCTCACTGACCGTTCCAGATGTATGGCAGGGGCCAGTCTACCACTTGGACGGTCGTTGTGGCGTTTCTATGTAAGATTCCGACCCACCTTCTAAAGGTCAGGCCAAAGTTCATCCTTTCGAGGCATTTATCGAGAAACATCCAGTCCACATGGTCGTACGCTTTTTCAAAATCTACAAAGATGATGGTTGCGTTGTGTTTAGACTGCCTTGACAATTTAATGACCTCATTAACCAGCAAAATGTTATCTTGGATTTTCCTCCTTCTGATGAAGCCCGTCTGCGTTCGGTGGATAATGTCCCCCATCACCTCTCCCAAGCGATTTGCTAGAGCATTTGCCACCAATTTATAAACCATAGTTAGGAGGGTGAGCGGCCTATAATTTCTTATGTTCATATGATCCCCTTTCTTATAAAGCAGGGTCAAGACTCCCTTGTCCCACCAGCTCTCCCATTTGACCCGAGATCCATACAGCGTGATAATAATCCATCAGGTCCTGCGCTAAGGTACTCCACATGGTTACCCAGAACTCCTTAGGGGTCCATCTATTCCCGGGGTCTTTTCCTCTTCCATTTGCATGAGCACCGACCACACCTCTTCCTTGGATAAAGGCATCTCCAATGCTTCCTTTTGCTGTTTTGAGAGGTGTTTCTGTAACGGAATCGGGAAATCGTTTATTTCTAACATCTTCTGCTCATATGGTTTATCCTTACATTTTGACTTAAAGATGTCTTGAAAGAAATCTCTTGCAATCCGAACACACCGGGATGTGGACGTGGCCACCGAACCCCTAGGTTGCAACGGGT